TGAACAGCGCTGGATCACAAAACATTAGAGATGAGCAGAGGGGAACAGAAGCTGGGTCCCTTCCTCCGCCCAGGTAGGTTGGCTTTTCAAAACCTAGTGGTGGGATGGCTGGATCCACCTGGCTGCATCGGGAGCATATTTAATTACCCAGTGAAGCTGTTTCTACAGCCACGGCTAATTCTGGCGCTGGTGGTCCTCTCACTAGGCACGTGAATAACTCTAGACAGGGACCAGCTTGGCCAGAAGGCCGCTGCTGTCCTGCACATCTGGCCCCTTCCCCAGAGTTCATCCTCAGCAGCTGTCGGCCTGCAGTGACCAACTCCCTCCCCTGCCAAGCAGGATGGAGCCTGCTGGGAGGCACCTCCAGATTTAACCACTTAATCCCCAAAAGTGCCCTGTCTAGTTGGCCAGCCAGCCCGGCATTAATTCATTAAGGCCTTCCCATTAGCTTCCCTGTAGCTGACCACTTTGCTTCTGGGGCCCACAGGCTCCTCCTTTCTCCTCTTCTTCGGGTCCCAAAGCAGGAGTCTGCTGCCCTCCCCTGGCTCCCCTTTCAAAGACAGATTCCAGGGCCCCATTCCCTCTCTTCCTCCCTCCCCTCCCCCTCTTGAGGCACGCAGCTCCCAGCTCCCTCCCTCCCCACTCACCACACAGCCTCTTTTGTTTCTCTCCGGTATCTTTGGGCCTTGACTGGGTTACCTCACCCCTTCCTCCTGGCCCCAGCAGCCCCCTAGATGCATTCTCCCACCCTTACCCTATTACCTTACCAGGTCCCCTCCTCCCCTGCAGCCCCCAGGCCAGGGGAAGAGGTGGCCAGCCCCTCAAACTGGAAACTCCAGCTTGCCTTCACACTTTGCAAAGACTCAGGTAAATAAATGCCCTCTGCCTGAGAGCATCTTGCCCATTTTGAAAGAGGTAAGAATGGCCCTGACCGGTTCAAGTCGAGTGAATTAAGAGCCAGGCCTGGCCCTGGCCACTTCTAAAAAGCACCTCCATCTTCCCTGAAAGAGGATGGCTACCCTTTACAGGCAGCGGTGGCTCTTACCTGAGGTCACACTGCCATGCTAGGGGTGGAACCCAGGAGTTTGCTCCTGCATGCTGAGCAAACCCTTGAGCCACATTCCCAGCCCTTCTGGTCCCTAAACCTACCTCCTATATATGCAAACTCAGATAACTTTACCCATGTGTGCGCATGCAGAGGCCAGAGGTGGAGGTTAGATGTCTTTATTACTCCATCTCTTTTTCCCCCAGAGTCTCCCCCTACACACACACACACACACACACACACACACACACACACACACACACCATTTTAGCTAGGCTGGCTGGCCAGGATCACCTGCCTCTGCTTCACACCAGCCCCCTCTCTCTAGAGCTTCATGCTACCTCACAGGGCTTGTACACAGACCTAGGGGATCCCAACTCAGGTCCCCATGCTCGTACAGCAAGCCCTTGACCTATGGAGCCATCCTCCAGCCTCCACTGCCTGGTCTGTTATATCACCATATTCTGTCATGAACCGACTTCCCAAGAGGGCCAGTAAGAATGGCAAGGGCTCAGTGGGTACAGGCATCACCAGCCCAGCCTGACTATGTGAGTGTGCTCTCTCGGGACACACACAGAAGAAGGGAACCAACACCTGCCTGTTGTCCTCTGACCTCTGCACTTGTGTGCCCACGAACAATGAATAAATAGGATAAAAATTAAATTTTTCCAAAAAAAAAATGATGCGATCCACCAGCAATGAACAAGGTAGAATGCGGCCTATGTTGGAAAGAGGGCCAGCTGATAAATGCTCAGTAAGAGTCAACGGTAGCACACATCGGTAACTATTTTGTTGTTGTTACTTTGCTACCATGGTTGAATCCATGTTAAGCACACACTCCGTGATCCATCACCGAGCTACGCAGCAGCCCCCAGCCCTTACCGCCACCTGGGATCAGTCAGCGCTGCACATGCAACCCACCTAACTTTTACCTGTGCGGGAAGCTCAGGGCTATGATGGTTTCCATTTTACATACAGAAAAACTGAGATTCTGGGAGCTTGCTTGCTTTTATTGGTAACTTTGAGGAAACAAGTGTTACTGGCTCACAGCTGGGTCTCAGAACTAGATGGTTGGGACCACAGACTCTGCTTAAAGCTAAGCCCCTAAGAGATTTGGAGTGGTGTCCCCCAGTCCAACACCCTCGCCCAGACACAGAAGGAGGCACAAGCATTCCCATCCCCCACTCTGGGTAAAGTGGAGAACACCCCAGGTCCGGTACACAAAACTCAGCCGATTACCCTCTCAGCTGGCTTTCTGTGCTCTAGCAAACTTGGGCAGACTAGGAAATGGGACTTGGTCCTCTTGTCACGGGAGGAGGTATGGAGCCCAAGGTGAGGAACCCCAACATGGGCTTCAGGAAGCGCAAGGGACCAGCTGGAGAAAAGTACTGGCACCTTCACGGGTCAGGAGCACCAGAGAGATGAGACCCCCCCCCCATGGGTGTGGCTGGGGGGGGCGGTGCAGCAGGCAGGAGAAGCCAGAAGCCAAGAACTGGAGTGTGTTTGGGGGGTGCCTGTGTCAGGGCGCAGCATGGAGCTTCCTCTGGGACAGAAACAGAGCTGGGGTAGGAAGAAAGCCAGTTCTGAGGGGACAGTTATCTTCTGTCTCCTGCATCCGCATCCACACGGCACCAAGAAAATCCTCACCACCACCACCACCACCACCACCACCACCACCACCACCACCACCACCACCACCACCACCACCACAATCCTGCCATCCGGGCTCCAGTTTCTCAACTTCTCACCCTGGTCAGGGCGCAGACTGGAGTACCAGGTCCGCCTAGACCGCAGCCTCTTTTTCGGGGTCCCTGAGCAACCCAACTTCTGGCATGCATGCACACCTGTACAGGCACACACTCCAGCCCTGGTCCCGAGTCTTTGGCCTCCTGGGTGGAACGGCGGCGCTAACAGAGCGTTTCTGCCATCCTGCCTGTACCCCACGACGCCAGAGTCCACATCCCGGGCCCCTTTCTATTAACCTTCCTTCTCTTCCCATAGACTTTCCCACCTGCCATTTCTTCTTCTCTACAGCCCCCCTCTCCGCTCCCCACCCGGCACGCCCCAACTCAGCAACCTGCTTGTCTCTCCCCAGTTCATCACCTGTTTTCCTTTCCTCTCTGTCCTTCTTTCTGCCACAAATCTGTGGCACCCTCAAAAATATTGATCCCCTCCCACCCACCCACCCGGGATTCCGCGGCGGCAGGAGCACTTTTGGAAGGAGGGACAGAAGGGGAGCAGCGCATGGGACCTCCAGAGCCGGGAAAATCGGGCTCAGGGCGCCCCGAAGCGACACTTCTCTTCGCCAGCGCCCGGGGCTGCGCGAGCCCACGCGACATCTGTCGCCCGCGCTCCCGGCTCACACCCTGCTCACCCCCGCAGCTCCCCGGGCGCTGCCACCCCCCACGCTCCGGCTGCCGCCTCTCCCTGCGGCGCCGCGCCAGCTTTCCAAGGTGTCTGCGCGCCCGCGGGCTAGGCTGGGATCGGCGCGCGCGCGACGTCTCCGGGGTTTCTGGTTACCTCACCTGTGGTCTTCACCCCCACTCTCGGAGGTCACCCTAGTGCCCCCCATTCCCGTACTCTGAATCTTCTCTACTCAAGAACCTAGGAAGGTGACCCTGATACTTCTACCTCCCCCTACCCCCCAAACTAGCCTAGCACAGCTCCTGGCACACGGCGAGTCCCCCTATCAAGGACCCACCTACAGCCACTCGACATCAAACGTGAGACGCTCAGCACCCTGTGACCACCCGGAGCACACAGCAGGCTCCCACACCTCACGCCGCATCCACTGGGGGTGACAGGAGGCCAAGCTCTAAACCGCGACACCTCGCGGTGAAAGGAGCCACGAAGTTACCCGGGAGATGGGACGCTGAAGTGCGCCTGCCTCGGGGATCGGGGATCGAGGACCAGCACCCAGCCAGTGAGAAACTTCTATGGGAGGGGATGGAGGGGGGGGGGGGTCGTCGCAGAGAATGAGGATTCGGAAACTGCAGGCGTGACACTCGGGGGGAGCAGGGAGTTAAGAGCGGAGAGATGGGGACCTGGGCAAGCCTGGAGTGACCCTTGGCGCGGATGGGACTGGGGAGGGGGAGGCTTTTTAGCCCCGTCCAGTGTGGTTCTACTCGGTGTGTTTACCGGGGCTGGTGACGATGGTGATGGCTTAAGTCCTTCTAAAGCCACTGTGCGGGAGAGGAGGGAGGGGGGAGAACAGAGAGGGAGGAGAGAGTGGAGACACAACAGAGGGGGGAGAGGGGAGAGGGAGGGAGGGAAAGAGTGTGTGAAGACGGGAGAGGGGGAGAGAGAGGAAGAGAGAGAGAGAGGGGAGAGAGAGAGAGAGAGAGAGAGAGAGAGAGAGAGAGAGAGAGAGAGAGAGAGAGAGGAGAGAGAGAGAGAGAGAGAAGAGGAGAGTGGAGACACAACCGAGGAGGGGAAGAGAGAGAGAAAACATTGAAGAAAGAGAAGACAGGACAGGGTGGAAAGAGAAGGGAGCGATTAAACAAGGGAGAGAGAAGTGGGAAAGGAGAAAGAGAAAATCAGAGCGAGAGGAGAGTGAAGATCGGAGAGGGGAGGAGAGAGGGAGTGTTGGGGGGGCAGAGTGAGAGTGAAGAGTGAAGACAGAACCGAGAGAGACAAGCGGGGGAAAGGAGGGAGGGAGAGAGAAAACGAAGAAGAGAAGAGAGAGACAGAGAGAAAGGAGAGAGAGAGAGAGAGAGAGAGAGAGAGAGAGAGGAGAGAGAGAGAGAGAGAGAGAGAGAGAGAGAGAGAGAGAGAGAGAGAGAGAGAGAGAGAAACAGCGCGTAGCAGATGCTCCGGGTCTGGGCTGAGAGGGGACAGGGCAAGTGACGAGGAGCGAGCTGCCCCCGGAGGTGGCGCCTTGGCTCCCGCCGCCGCCGCGCTCGCTCTCCCTCCAGCTCCCCGGCTCGCCCGCTCGCCTTCTCGCCGGCCCGCGTACCTGTTGCTCGGTCCGGGCTGGGTCTCGGCTCCGGTCCCCCCTACCAAGAAGGCCCCGCGCGCGCCGCCTACGCGCTCCGCCTGCCGAGCAGCCAGGCCGCCAGCGCCGCCACCTGCGCGGCCGCGCACAGCCAGGGCCAGCGGGCGCGGAGCGCGGGCAGCAGCGCAGGCAGCGGGTCCCGGGGCCGCGCGCGGCGCCGCATGGCGCGTCGGTGCAGCTCGTCGCCCAGCGCCTGCAGCCGCAGCGCGGTCACCTGCGCCGCCGCCCAGCGCAGCCCGGGGCGAGCGTCGCCGCAACCGCACACGGCCGGAGGCCCGCGGCCGCGATGCCGGGGACACGGGCACATGGCGTGCGCGGAGGAGCCTCCCCGGACCCCAAGTTTCGCCCTGCGCCGCGCGTTTGTTGTGCTGACGGCGCTATTATTAATTAAAGTGTCACATGGTGGAGGGGGCGGGGAGGGCGCGGGGAGGGGGTTACATCATCCGGCCCGGGGGGGGGGGGGGTTGTGTGTGTGTGTGTGTGTGTGTGTGTGTGTGTGTGTGTGTGTGTGTGTGTGTGTGTGCAGGAGAAGAAGCCGGAGAGGTAACTTTTAACCCTAGCGACGCCGGCAAGGCGGGGACAGGCAGGCAGGGACGCGGGGCTTCGGGGATGCTGGCCCAAGGCGTCCACTGTCTCGATTCTCAGGCTGCGGGAGCTCCAGCTCGGACGGACGCAGCCTGCGAAGCCAGCTCGGTGCACAGTGGGGATGACACTCCAGCGAGTTCGGTGGTTATTTGAAAAGATCCCCGGGCTGTTGTGTGGCTTGGGTGGCGGGAGGCAGGGGGATTCTAGTCGATTTGCCCGGTTTCGGGGCTGACTGGGCACCTGTCAGCTTTTGGGTCGGTGCACACACTCCTAACATGCGTTCACACCCCCTTCTGGTGACCTGACCTAAGCACATCCCGGGGTGAGAGCCTGAAACCTGGAATGGAGGTGAGGGGGGAGACTGGAGCTGGAGGGGTTGGACTCCAACTCCAGCGAGTTCCCCTTGCACTCGAGTCCCCCCACCCCCACCCCGCCCCCGCCCCGGGACCTTTCTAGAGAGAAGTTCTTATTGCCTGCTTGCTTTGTGAACATTATCTTTCCTAATGGGGTTATGGTTTGCATCGGACTCTGTAAGCCCCTAGCTTGGCGCCTGGTGAGATGACCTAACCTGAAGACCAATCCAGTTCCTCACCAGCCTGGAAAGTAGCTAGCAATTCGTGCCGACTAGCTAGGGAGTTCTTGGGACTCTGTAGGGTGTCAGAGAGACCCCCCCCCCCCTGCGCCATTGTCACATCCACTGGGATTTGGACCTGGAGGAGCAGGGAGGTGCCTCCAAGCCAGTGACTTCAGAACCTTTGAGACCCTTCAAGGTCGCCCCTTCAGACCTGCGGAGTATTGTCAAGGCCTGACGAGGCCTTTGGTGCCTTGGAAAAGATTTTTCATGACCACGAACTTGGTGGAGTAGCACCTGACTGTAATCCTCCAGTCTCAGCACTACAGAAGCAGAGGCAGGGGGATCACGAGTTCAAAGCCAACCAGGTCCACATAGGGGTTCCAGGCCAGCCAGGGCTACAGAGGGAGAATGTTATATTTAAAAAAAAAACCCCAAAGAGTCAGGGATGACTCTGTGGCCATTCAGTCCTGTGAATCCGTGTGATCCAAAGAGAAAACGGATACCCACAGTATGTCCTCTGATCTCCATAGGCTTACTATGCTTTTATGTGTATGCACGCACATTAAATAAATAAATAAAAAAAACAAATAATAAATAATAGATAGGCAAATAAATAAAAAAAGAAAAAAACCCAAACCAAAAGACATAAAACTATGAACTCACCTTTTTGTGATTTTTGTTGTTGTTATTGTGACTGTTGTTTTTGTTTTGTTTCGAACAGGCCTGCTGTGTAGTCCAGACTCCCATTTAACTTGAAACTCCCTTGCCTCATCCCCCTGAGTGTTGGGACGACAGGTGTGTGTAACACGAATTGCTAAACAGTCTTAAAATAATAATAATAATAATAATAATAATAATAATAATAATAATAATAATAAAAACCCCAGATATTGGGATGAATGCTGAAAGATCAGAGAGACAACGGAACAAGCCACAGCCACATCTCACCTTGCCAACTCCACAAATCCTCTGCTTGTTTGCTTCTGCGTCCTCAGCGGAAAGAACTTTAAGTTCCTGTCTCCTCACGCCTTATAGACAGACCTTTCTCCGCCCAGGCATCGCTTCCTGGGATTAAAAGTGTGTGCCACCACTGCCTGGCTCTGTTTTCTTCCCTAGATTGAGCCAATCTCATGTTGTCCAGGGTGGCTTTGAACTCACAGAGATCCAGACGGATCTCTGACTCCCGAGGGTTAGGATTAAAGGTGTGCGCCACCACTGCCTGACCTCTACGTTTAATCTAGTGGCTTGTTCTGTTCTCTGATCTCCAGGCAAATTTTATTAGGGTACACAATGTATCACCACGGATGCGCAGTAACATGCTCAGCTTGGCTTATTTTCATCTGCATTCATGGTATCTCCCTTAGCGACTTGGTGAGGTGACACTCGGAGATCAGCATAGCCACGCTGTGTGTGCTTCTGGTGGCCCTCACCTTCCCCCAGTCTCAGCTCATCTTCCCTAACAACTGCCCACACTGCCCAGTACCTTCCATGTCAGCAGGCCCACCAAGGGCCTGGCTTGTGCTCCTACCAAGAATCTGTTGCTGCCCTGTTTCTAAGGAAGCCAAGGCCCCGGTCCATGAGGCCTCTTGCCCAAGAACGGGGTTAGTGCAAAGCCTGGCCCTGAACTAGGGCACCCCGTCGCAGGCACCAAGCCCTAGCCATGGTTAGACTGATAATACCTCCCTCCCAGGACCAGGGCCCAGACTAAATGAAAGAACTGCGTGCCAAGCGCCTGGCATGCAGTGGGCCCAAATAAACCTTGGTCCCCTCTGCTTCTGGCCAGAGCCACTTCTCCATCTCCTGGGACTCCGGCTCCCTAATCCCAGCCATCCTTACAGAGGGCAGCTGAACCACTGCCCGAGTGTAGTGGTCCAAGATTGAAGATACAGTGTCTATTTAAAAAGCCCTTTGGATTTGAACGGTCCCCACCCCTCCCTTTTAATCTCCACGCTTTTAACGGCTCACTTCATGGACATTAATTTTAATGGGACGATTATTGCCCTGTTTGGAAGCCTGCCCCTCGAAACGCTGGGCTCACAAGGTGGCACTGGGTTGGCTCCCAGCAGTGAGGATGTTTTTTTTTAAAGCAGGGGGAGTGCAGCTTTGGCCGTGGGGCTGAGAGGAGAGGAGAAGGGGGTTATGGGGAAAGGGGGTCAAGGGAAGGCCTCTGTCTCCCCATCGCTGAATTAGTCTCTAAAGTTGGCTCACACCAGTTACCCTGCTCTTTTTACACTGGGTCACTTGGAGGTTGGCCTTGAGATGTGGCCTTTAAAAAAAACGTATTCTTCCCCCCGCTTTATGTTCGTGTGTGTGTGTGTGTGTGTGTGTGTGTGTGTGTGTGTGTGTACATGTGACATGGAGTACATGTGGAGGTCACAGGACAATTTGCAAGAGTCAATTCTTTCCTTTTACTCTATGGGGCTCGGAGATTGAACTCCAGTTATCAGACTTGGTGGCAAGCACCCCTGTCCACGGAGCCCCAAGATGGGCCCTTTTGAAGCATCCATTTCTTTAACTTGGAAGTAGAGATGATATCAGCATGGACCTCACAGGCTTGGGGATCTTGTAAACCACCTCCACCCCCACTAGCATGGAGCCTAGCATACAGCATAGGCCTGTAAATCCCTGCTACTCAGGAGGCTGAGGCAGGAGCATTGCTAGGACCTTTGGGGAAGACAGAGTGAATTCAAAGCTAACCTGGGCAACTTGGTGAGACCCTGTCACGTTGGGTGTGTAGCTGGCAAACACTTGTTGAGACGAAGACTGACCAGTTGAAAGAGTGACCATCTATCTGGCTGCTAACTGATGATGACTGAGCGGGTGAGTGCATGGATAAATGGCTGACGGCCTGAATCTCTGACTAATTTGAATGAATGAAAACATTTTAATTGGTCTTTTCCTCTTAAATGTACAAAGCAGGGTGGGCTGGAGAGAGGGCTCAGTGTTAAGGGTTAAGCACATTTGCTGCTCTTCCAGAGGATCCAGGTTCAGTTCCCAGCACCTGTATCTGGCAGCTTATCACCACCTGTGACTCCAGGTCCAGAAACTCCAATGCCTTCTGGCTTCTGTGGACACCTGCACAAATGCAGCGTATACTCACACACACACACACACACAACACACACAGTCTAAAAAATTCAATGATGCACATGGGAATGTTATAAACGATGGCATACAGATACATATGTGTGTATGTATGTACACATGTGTATGCATGTGTGTGTGCCTGGCTTAGAGCATTCTCTTACCTCCTACAGAAACCAACACTGTTTTGGCTGGAAGAGGTTGTAAGTTCCTTTATTTGATTAAAACATTATTTCCTCAGTCTGGTGTTTGAGAGCCAAGGAGCCTTTCCTTAGGTGTTTTAATGCACGTGGCTAAATACAGCGGCAGATGAAGGGAAAGCTGTTGCCTCCCCCGAAACAGCTGTGTTTCCGGGAGAAAGCTGTCAATGCCAAGCCCAGATCTGATGCCAGGAGTCAGCTCACGGCACATGCGTTCTCTAACTCGAACCCGGGGACAGTGGGGGGGGGTGATAGATTTAAATTTAGGAGCCAGAGGGGCCTAGGTCATGGTGGCCGTACTAAATGACAGCAGGAGGGCCTCTGCAGTCTCTCCTCTCTCTGGGCCCTGGGTTTCCCATCTGTAGACTGGGAATGAAAACCCTAGCCTTGGAATGGCTGTGAGCACAGAGAATTTATGTGGAGAGTCAATAGACGTGATGGACACTAAAAATGACCCGGTGATCTTTGTGGATGTCCCGGGCTTAGTAAATATCCACTTAGGAAACAAAATAGGGATGGTGACCCAACCCCATCGAGGAAACAAGGAGAGTCAGTTCTCAGGGAGCCTGGAACCTGTGTCTCACAGCTACTCCCAGGCTAGTCCCCTCCATCTGACAGACCCAGATGGCTCTTGTCCTTCCTGGGTATCCTGAGAAGATAGGGTAACCCCTTCTCCAGGGGCTTCCTGATGAACCCTCTGGTGCCTTCCCTAAGGGCCTTTTTGTTGAAAGTAAAGAGCAGGTGAATGGCCACAGCAGGGGAGAAAAAAAATAACCATCCAGTAATTATAGTCTCAAGCATAAACTCGCTTGTGCATAAAGCCTAATTCCTTGATTAGGAGTCAGGAGACAGGGGGCTGATTCAACTGCTGTCCCTGCTGTGAAAATTATGCCTTATTGCCCCCCATTCAGGCAATAATCACCTCCCT